CCCCCCCCCAGGCCCACTGCTGTGGACTTCTTGAGCCTGTGCCGGGCTGGTACTGCGTGGCTCTTTTTCTTGGTCCACATGCACTCGGACCAGATGGTGTGCCTGTCCGGCCCCCGGGCTGGCCCCTCAACTGCTCTCCAATCACTGCCCACCCCTTGCATCGCCGCCTACAGGTATCCAAGCAACGGACCCTGCTCTGGAGGTCAGTGAGGCCAGTGCTGCCTCTGGACGGACCTGGCGGAGACCACGCCTGTCACTCTCGCCGCTGCCGGTCACTGCCTGGTTGTCGTGTTTTTGAAGGATATGTGGGATCGTCGTCTACACAGGTGATTCTTGATTTATACCATCCATGCTAAAGGGGTCAGCCCTGATACGGGGAAAGCAAATCCGTGCTCTGGGCCTAGACAATGCCAACTGCAACCCAGGCCTCCATCTTGCTTTTTGACAGAAGCTGTCTATCAGAACGTCCCACTCATCTGAAAGCTCGCACAGCATAACGTCAAGACTGGTTAAATCTGACCCGTCCTTGAACACTTAGCTCAGTGTCACTTTCAGGAAAATCTCCGCACTCCCATCACCTGGACTCTATAGTCGAGGAAAGGAGCCACCGCTAGAGCAGCTGGCCCTGGGGTTTCGGGCCTGGTGGTGCTGCATCCTCGGTGCCCAGGGCTGGTGCAGCTGCTGGCCTGGCAGTTCTGTTCCAGCAGAGAAGGCTGGCGTATCCCCGCTGTGGACCACGTGGAGCTCTGTCATTCCCGCACAGTGCGTTGGAACTGGACGCGCCCCACCACTGCTACGCTTCCCACATCTCACCCCAGCACCCGCGCCATCCCTTACTCTGACCATGCCACCTACTCTGAGCTTCGTGCTTCTGTGGAGGCACTGAGGCCTTGCCACGTGGCGCCCTGTCGGTCCACAGCCCCATGTGGACGACTTTCAGGACAGCCTGAGCCCCAGGCTCTGTGCCCTGGTTCCTGACTGCATGACGACACGAGCTCCTCCTCTGAAAAGCCAAGCTTTTGCTGGCTGTTAGGAGGGAGGCTCAAGAGGCCAAGAACCCAGGGTGTTGTGTATGAATCCCGAGGAAAGTGCTCATTAGCCTCAAGCCGACAACTCAAAAAAGGCCAGAAAGGAAGACACTTCTCCCAGGCCTGGTGACCACGAGCAGCAGCCCTCTCCTCCCTTTGCGGAACAAGCAGCAGTTGTTCCCAGGCCTCTGCCGCGAAGAATGGACGGGGAGTCCCTTTCTCTGAGTCCCAGAAGAAGGTGACTATTTTGATGGACCCCTTAAGAATTTCAGTTCAGTTAAGGCCTACAGATGAGAGGTTTCTCTCTCCAGAAACTAGGGAAGAAATTGCTTTAAAGTCCTGCTTGGCACGCAGGAGCCGGTGGTGGCCCAGCTGCCTCAGGAAACCAGGATGCCCGTGCGGGCCACAGTGCTCCTGTTCAAAGCAGCACGGCCGCTTCTCTTCCAGCTGTGAGTTCAGGGACCTGGCTCGGAAATGCCTTCTGACTCCAGTGAACTTTCTCCAGGCAAGGTTCTCCAGGAGCTTAGACCAGCAAGTGGAAAAGCACCACATGCCTTTACTGAACACAGGCAGGAGAGTACAGGACAGCAACCTCGTTTGATTCAACCCCGCAGTTCTGAAGACAGTAGCCAATGGCTGGGCGGGGAAGAGGTGAGGCCCTTCTCTTCTTCCATCGGAAAGAGCTGAGGCCCTACTCTTCTACCTTCATGGACTCTTACGGGCTTATTCCAGAGCAGCACTTCCCACAGCTTATTCCCTGTAGTTCCGGTGCTTACGGAGTCCTTAGCTCTATAACTGACTTTAAGAAACATTTTTTACTACCAACTCTTCAGAGTACACCTGATCACATGGAAGCTTCTTCCAAGTCCTACAATAACCTAAGCTGCTTAACTTTGTTTAACTCAGTATTTCTCCAACTTCCGTGAGCATGCAGTCCAATTCTGGGGGTGCAGAAAGAGGTAAGTGACTAAATCGAAAAGGACCAGGTCATTTCTGTTATTTTGTTGTGTGCCACTCTCCAAGTCCCCTTCTTTGTCTTCCCAAATAAAAGCCCCTAGGTCGTTCTGTTTTAAAATTTAAAAAAAAAAAAAAAAAGAAAAAAAAGGAAAGGCTTTTTATCGGGCTGGTCCCACAGCCTAGTGGCTGAGAGAGCCAGATCCCACACGACTGACTGTGGTTTGAGTCCTAGCCCTGCTGCCTTAAAAACACTCCAGGCATATGTGTGTGCGTGTGTGCATGCGTGTGTGCGTGCCACATTCCCACGGGATGCAGAAATGGAGAGGGGTTACGGTGTGACAATGCCCTATTGGGGGTGATGTTTCTCTCTGGGGAGTACACACACCTTATGGCAAAAATAAGTTTGATAGTTTATTTATTAATTTATTTTTAGACAGAGATTCTTGCTATAGGGTGTGTGCACTCACTGGAGAGACAAAGAGACAGAGAGACATAAAGTGAGAAATCACACCCCACGGGGGACGGCCACACTGCAATTCCTTCCTCTTCATTCTCCTCTTGGGATTTTGGGCATGTATGCATACATGTCTGGTGCAAGTTTTAAGATGCCAGGTCCAGTACTTGAACCACGGTCAACTACAGCGAAGTAGCCATTTGCCACCTGCTGGTCCTGCCAGTTGATATCCTTTACTGACATTAGCTGAGGGTGGAAATATGGGGATGTTTTCCTTCCAATTTATTTCTCCTAATGTTCTCTTTACGCTTCACTCTTACGCTTCGCTCTTCCTCTTCTTTAGTGTACCAGCGGCAGGGTGGTGACAGACTGAACGTCTCCACACACTCGCGTTCCACATCCTTGTATCCCAGGAAGGAAAGCCCCAGGGAGAGCTGAAGCAGGCTATGAGCAACCAGAGGACCAGCATCTAACTCCTCCCCAGCAGTCCAGGGCAGCACAGAACAGTGATGGGCGTGGATCACGCGTGGATCTCCGTGGAGGCGGGCGGTGCAGGAAGGGCCCAGTGCCCACAGTAAACTATGATCACAAACACTGTCTGCGACAGACGCAGTAGCAAATGCAGTCACGCTGCAGCGCTGTCATCTGTGATACCGTCTTCGCAATGCCTCTCCCCTAGCAGAGGGTGTGACCGTCTAAAAGAGAATCCCTACCTGTGCCCGCTTCTCCATATCCTGGCAGGTGCCTAGCTGCTCTTCCATCGCAACTCTGATTTGCCGTGCTTCATATTCCAGTTGCCTTCTGGTCATGTCTGTCTGTAAGGAAAACTAAAACCACACACGATATAAAATATTAATATCTCACTGTGCTGTGTGTTTGTTGGTAAAAGCATACAAATATCAGTGAAGAAAACTAATAGGTCATGATACTTGAGAAAAGTCTGTTTCACTTCCCAGAGTGATAAAATTTGACTGGAGGCGCCAGGCTCAGTCTGAATCCCTAGATGTGATGTGGCATTGAAATACTTATTGCCCCAACGTCACAAACGTCTTTAATTACACTGGACTATTTTGTTCAAAATATGTAATTGGTCTAGCTGGGGTGAGGCTAAGTTCACTCCTCTCATAATTCTTCCCCATTAAAGAGGTTTTACTATTTTTTTTAAAAGAATTATATTATTTAACTTTATTTATTTATTATTATTAATTTGCTATAGAGCATGTGTGCTCACCAGAGAGACACAGAAAGAGACAGAGACAGTGAGAAAGCAAGGCACCAGGTCCAGGATTCAAACCATGGTTGGCCATGTGCAAGTCCAGCACCTCAACCACCATTCCACTTGCTGGTCCCCAAACACTACTTTTAATTATTAAAAACTAATGTCTTAATGAGGACAATACAGAAAAATCATAGAACAGTTCCATTATCCTTAAGTTTATACCTTGATTTAAGGTAAAGGATTACCATGTACATATAAATAAACAGAGAACATTTTCATTTGTAAAATTAAGAAAATGGGATTAAAAAAACCTGTGTTATGATTATAATACAGATAATCAGGGACCAGCAGTTGGCGTAATGGCTATGTCGCTGGACTCCCATGTAGTCAACCGCGGTTAGAGTCCCGGACCTGGTGGCTTAAACTCACGCCAGGCGCGTGTGCATGCATGCCCAAGATCCCGAGAGGAGAATAGAGGAGAAAGGATTGTGGTGTGGCCATCCCCCCTGGGGGGTGATTTCTCGCTTTCTGTCTGTCTCTCTCTGTCTTTCTGGCGAGCGCACGCGCCCTATAGCAAAAACCTCTCAAAAAAATACAGATAATCATAAAGTCAATGGACTTTAGCAAACACTGGAAATGAAGCAAAACTGAGACATAAAGAAGTCCTTCTTCGCAGAGGAAATGTTAAGTCATTCAAAACATATTCTTTGCAGCCCTCGGGCCACCCACAGCATAGCAGGTCAGCCCTGTGCACAGGGAGCTGTTCGAACCCAGCCTTGTCGGCCTGGAAGACACATCAGGTGGGTGTGCGTGTGTGCCCCGAATCCTGACAAAATGGAGGAAAAGAAGCATGGCATGACTGTGCCCCTGTGGGCTCTCCCCCTCACTGCAGCAAGCACACAATTAAAAGTTTGTATAAAAAAACTAGACCAATTACATGTTATATATATCCTCTAAATTAAAATCCCAAGCACTGTGGTAACTGCTAGACGCATGACAGGATGATGATAACGGGACATACGAACACATGCCCTGAGAGGTGAGGTGGTCTCGAGTCAGGCTTAGGTAAAGTAACTGGTAACAGTTACAGTGGGCCGTGAAGGGACTGAGGAGGCGACAGATTTCTCATGCTGTGTGCCCACAGGAACCACACGTGACACACACAGGTCTGACTCAGAAAAGCATCCTGGCCCCCAAATTCCACAGTGAGCCGAAGGCAATGACAGACACTGCTCCCTGCAGAAGGCACTTCTGGAGGTACGCCCTGGTTACAGGGTGCCACCGAACCCAAGTTGTAACTGCTCATCTGTCTCCACTTTCCAAATCCAAGCCCACAGAAGAAACTGAGCGTGACACAGCACACTGCAATCACGTGGTTCAGATCTGAGGGTTTGCTTTCTGTCAAGAGGAATAATTAAGTATTTCCACAGAAAAGTATTCATTAATTTGGCTTCCAAATATAAAAGCCAAATTTATGAATTTAGGGACCAGTAGTTGGTTAATGGCTATGTCGCTGGACTCCTATGTGGTCGACCGTGGTTTGAGTCCTGGACCTGGTGGCTTAAACTCATGCCGGGCACATGTGCGTACGTGCCCAAGATCCTGAGAGGAGAATGGAGGAAGGGATGGTGGCATACCCCCCCCCCCAGGGGGGGTGATTTCTTGCTTTCTGTCTGTCTCTCTCTGTCTTTCTGGCAAGCGTACATGCCCTATAGCAAAAATCTTTCAAAAAAACCCCCCCAAAACAAAACAAATTTGTGAATTTAAAAAAGCTATAAAATATAATCAATTTAAATTTGTAAATGTTGCCAATGGTCTACAACAATGTCTTATATATTTTATTAAATAAACCTGATTTTGATTCTTTTTTTTTTTTTTAAAGAGAGATGTTTGCTATAGGGCACGTGTGCTTGCTGGAGAGATGGAGAGAGACAGACGGTTTCCCAAGCAGTGGCTCTGACCAGAGCGTGCAGGAGGGGCTGTGCCTGTGCTGCTGTGCCCGCCAGACCCTCCTGAAGCTGGTCCTCATCTTCAGCGGCTAATAACTGTTCCTTCCCTGCACGTTCTTGATTCCGAGAAAGGTTTTAAGGATGTGATTAGAAAGAGGGCTCCTTTCTGCCCATCTCCAAACCCTGATGCCTGTTCTAGAGGAGCACACGGAGGCTTCTGCTGCCAGCTCCTGCCTGCCAAACCACTCAGGAAACCCCACTGGCTGTGTTATTTTAAAAAGCTTTCCTTTTTTCTACTTTTACTTATGTTCTCTCAAAGCACTATTATAAAACAAAAAATCCGGGGGTTAGCAGTTGGCACAGTGGTTAAGGCACCGGACTCCCACACAGCTGACTGTAGTTCGAATCCTGGACCTGGTAGCTTGCTTTTTCCTGTCCCCTCTGTCTCTCTCAGGTGAGCAATGTGCCCTATATGAAATTAAGTAATAATAGTAATAAATAAAAAGATGAAATAATTCTTTAAAAAAAATCTGGGCCAGTAGGTGGCATAGTGGTTAACACGCTGGACTCCCACATGGCTGACAGTGGTTCGAGTCCCAGATCCCACAGCTTGAAAATCATGCTGGGTGTGCATGCGTGCATGCCCAAAATCCTGAGAGGAGAATGGAAAAGAAGGGACTGTGGTATGGTTATCCCCCTTGGAAGGTGATTTCTCACTTTCTCCCTCTCTGTTTCTCTCTCTCTCTGGCGAGCACATACTTTCTATGGCAAAACCTTTAGGAAAAAAAAAAAGTAAGAGAGTAAGTTACATTTTCATTAGACTAGTTTTTCTTTTTCTTTTCTTTTTTTTCTTTTTAAAGAGTTTTTGCTATAGGGCGTGTGCGCTCGCCAGAAAGGCAGAGAGACAGAAAAAGAAATCACCCCCCAGGGGGGATGGTCACGCCGCAATCCCTTCTCCTCCATTCTCCTCTCGGGATCTTGGGCACGCACGCACACATGCATGATCGAGTTTTATCATCTCTATTAGAATATAATGTTGTATAAAACCCATGACAGTTCGCAAATGGGTAAATATTCAGTTACTCTAAAATTTTAATAGGTAACTCTGTATTTTAAAAGTTCAAGTTATTAAAGTCTGAAATAAGAAAATAAGTTGTACTGCCAAGTTACGTACATTCTCAGTTAAAGGAAGACTGTCGATCCTTTTAGTGAGATTCTGAAGTTGAGCATAATACCAGTCTTTTTCCTTTTCTTCTTTGTCAAGATCAGCAAGAAGTAAGGATCTATTTTTTTTAAAGAAAAGTAAGTTTACACAATGATAACACAGACTGAAAAGACCAATCCTTACCAGTTGTTACTGTAAAGTTCGCTATTTAAATTAGCATTAATAATAGCTAAAGTATGAGTAGTAAATAAAACCCTTCTGATCAGGATGTTTGAAGGCAGGACTCAGAATACTGTAACCCTCCAAATATGAATCCCATAGCGCTTTAGCCTCTTCTCTAAGTGAGCTGGCAGTCACCCGCCAAGGATCCATCCGCTTCCCTCAGTGTTTCTCTTCACATAGTTGAGTCTCAGCTCATGACGCTGGGTAGACACGGTACCACAAAGCCCACTGCGGGCAGGGGTGGGACGTATGGGAAGGAACTGCCCAGAGTCGGAGTTAGTGGCTAGTTAGGAATTAGGCCAGAGAACAGACCGAGGTACAGGCGCTACTCCTCACACAGATGTGGCTTTTAGCTTTCAGCAGACAAATTTTAAGAAATGTATGGCTACTTTGTAAAAAGAGGCAATATTCTGGGGGAGAGAAATTTCTTAGTTTGGAATTTGGAGATAAATTTGCTATGTGATCTTGGGCAACCCGCCTGACGGCACCCCCAGCGACAGTCTGCTGCTCTGCTGAGACATGGTACGCTGGGTCAGGAAAGGCGGGAATGCCACAGAGACAAGGCCACGACCAGGGTAGCGCTCACAGGCACGGACCACGACTTTCTCTTCTGAGTGCTCTTCCCAAAGCGACCACCGTTACAGTTTTCTGGGCATACTTCCAGAGATCGCCTGTTAAAATGCAAGGATACATGTACGTACTTATCGTACGGTTTTTTTTAGATGTTTTGCTGAAGGGCATGTGCGATCACCAGAGAGAGAAAGGGAAAGTGAGAAATCACCCCCCACCGGGGATGGTCCCGCCACAGTCCTTCTGTACTGTCCTCTTGGGATTTTGGACACGCATGCAACACACACCGGCATGATTTTCAGGCCGCCAGGTCCATGTGGGATCCAACACGAACCTGCGAGCCACCTGTCGGTTCCCTCTGTGTGCATTTTAAACACCAACAGTAGCACGCCATTGCACACGCAGTCCTGCAACCATTTTTCACTTTGACCATTCCTTGTCAGAACAAGAAGAGGCACTGTGCTTGCTCTGACAGTTGGGTAATATTCCACTGCACACATAAATCCACGAAGGGATACCATAGCGTTTGCTGGAGGGGACTTTCTCATCTTCCGCTATCACAAACTATGCTGCACTGGAAACCTTATATATATTGGGTCGTTGGAAAAGTTGTGGCTTATTTTTCTCTTTTTCTATGTAAAAATGTGTCACGACTTTTCCGATGACCCAGTACTTCGTTTCACATATGTGCTAGCATTCCTAGGCTTTATCAAGTTTTTAAAAGAATTATCTATTAATTTTAGTTATAATTAGTTTTTAATTTGACCAGAGAGAGTGAGAGAAAGTGCAAAAGCCGCCAGGTTTGAGACTCAAACCACAATCAGCCATGTGGGAGTCCAGTGCCTTTACCACATGACACCCGCCAGCCCAGGTTGCGCCAATTTTTACTTACTATCCTAGTTAGATGTTGTATCAGTCTGTGTTCCTATCACCTCCACCAATGTAAGCACTTAATTATATATATATGGGGCCAGTAGACGGCACGGTGGTTAAGGTACTGGACTCCCACACGTTCTCTCGTGGTTTGAGTCCCAGACCTGGCAGCCTGAGAACCATGCTGGGTGTGTACATGTGCCCCAGATTTGGCATGGCCATCCCTTTGGGGTCTGATTTCTCACTCTCCTCTCAATGTCTCTCTCTGCCTTTCTCCAGTGAGCATGTGTGTCTTTTGGCAAAAACCTAAAAAAACGAACAAACAAAACCCTAAATGGACCATAGTCCTCTAAGCAGCACAGAACATATGATATTCTACTAAGGGGCAGGAGAAATGATGCCAGCATATGACTTATTCCAGGGACCTTCAACTGCAGGGCTGTAAACAAAACACTCACCTGCCTTCAATGTGTGTCCTTAACACACAGAGAAAACAGGAAGACGCAAATGTATACATAGTTGTATTGTGTAATATAACTGCTATCAATCTCAACAAAACAAAAGCAAATATACAGTTGCTACATCTTATTGTGGGGCAGTCACAGGACAGAACAAGAAGCAAGCTGCCAGGTTCAAGACTCAAGCCACAATCAGCCAGTCCAGTGGCAGTCCAGTGCCTTAACCACCATGACTCCTGCCAGCCCAGGCTTTGTCGATGTATAACTTACGACCCTGGTTAAATAACAACTTCTATCTCCAGAATTAATAAGTATAAGAACTACTGTGTATGTATGCATGTATGTTTGCTTATGTGTTTATGTATACAAATTCTACCAAAAAACTGGTAATAAATTGAAAACTGGGTGGGTAATCTTCATCTTTCAAAGCAGTGATCAGTACGTAACGTCCGAAGTTTGTAAGTCATATTTGGAATCAGGAAAGTAACTGTCCTGTGGGGAGGAAGACGAGATGAGAGGGTGGGGCAGAATGCTAAGTGTTTCAGTACAACGTGATTTAAAGCCAACACAGTGAGGTCAGAAATGAACGGTCATCTAAAACTATATTACACTGGGATAAGCAGATGGTTACATTGCTGGACTCACACATGGTTGACTGTGGTTCGAGTCCCGGACCTGGCAGCTAAAAACTCATGTGGGCACATATGTGTGCATGCCCAAAAACCCTGAAAGGAGAATGTAAGTGAATGTCTCTCTGGTGAGCTAAGTGCCCTATAGCAAAAGTCTCTCAAAACAAACAAACAAAAAACAAAACAAAACAAAATGTATTATTAATAATGCCTGAATTAGAAGCTGGGCAACAGCCTGGGATAAAAACAAACAAACAAAAGAAGCGTTTTCCACAGTAACATTAAAAAGAAACAAAATACTTTTAACTATTTTAGTAAGAAATTTGTTTGTTTTGCTATAGGGCATGTGTGCTTGGCCAGAGAAAGACAGAGAAAATCAGACAGCAGGGAATGTGAGAAATCACCCTTCCCCGGGGGATGATCATGCCACAGTCCCTTCTCTTCTCTGTTCTCCTCTCGGGAATTCTGGGCACACATGCACTCGGCATGATTCTGAAGCTGCCAGGTCCGGGACTGGAACTGCAAAGCTGGCCACGTGGGACCAGCACCTTACCTCCATGCCACCTGCTGGCCAAAGAAATGTATTTTCTACCTTAGGTTAAATGTCAGAATACTAGCTTGGGGCCAGCAGGTGGTGTGGTGGTGAAGGCGCTAGATACCCACATGGCTGACTGCAGTTTAAGTCCCATACCCAGACCTAGCAGCTTTAAAATCATACCGGGTGCATGTGTGTGTGTGCCCAAAATCCCGAGAGAATGTAGGAGAAGGGATTACTACGACCTGGCCATATCCCCTGGGGGTGATTTCTCACTTTCCCCCTCTCTCTGGTGAGTCCATGCACCCTATAGCAAAAACTTAAAAAAAAAAAAAAAAAAAGAATACTATCTTAAAGTTAGAGAGTGGCTTTATATAAGAAATAAAACATATCCAAATTATTGTATTTAAATGCCAGGACACAAGAAAACAGCTTTTCATGGATTTAAACTCAAAGAACTTTGGAGACTGGTAAAAAATAAATTATGTCAAGACAGAAAACAAGACCATTTTTATTACAAGTGTTTCTGAGCACTTACAGCCACATGTGTTAGGGTTACTACTATTTGCAGCAAAACCTATTTTGAAGTGTTTAAAAATTTCTCTCTTTCTCTAAGACCCTCTCTACTAACAAAGGCAGGACTTTTCCCACACAAGCACAGTAAGCTCTAGGACAGCTGGCATGCACATCTGCCCCCTCCCACGAAGCTCACGAGGACAGAGTCCTGGGAGACCGTGGCCGAGTTCATGCTCTACTTTCCAGGACAGGGTTTCAATGTGGTTCAAAGTGTGAACCAGAAACTCCCGTAAGCTCTGAGATGAACGGAAGCTGGGCGGCACTTCGGTCCAGGTGATCGTCCCTACTGTTACAGACAGGCGTCCCTAAAGCAGAGAGAAAGAAAGGCGGGCCTCTGCGTCCCAGAGAGGTGTGCCGGGCACTCCCTACAGGCTGAGGTCGCTTCCCACCCGCCTCCAGAGGGCACAGTTCTGCCTCACAGAAGGGAGGACGCAGACGTGCAGCGACCTGACCAAGGTCAGAGTTCACACGGGACACTCAGGCGGGGCCGTCTGCGCCTAATGGAACACTCAGGGTCACGTTACAAGGGTAACGACAGGTGTCATTTCCGCACCACACTGGTGTGACCAGTTCCTGATACTGATCTGTATTGCGTTATCTGCAGTGACATCCTTTCAGCTTCAGGAAGAGATGAATACAGTAGTTACGAGGAGCCAGGCCTGCCTCCATGTGTCAGCTGTCTTGCAGATACTGAAAGTGATGCACTAAGGGCGTCTCGGCTGTGGCCACCTGTAAGAGGCCTTCCGTAAAGAGAGAATCACCTCACAAAGGACCTAGCAGTGCTTAAATTTACTTCAAAAGTAACAAGAAGTTAAACTCGAGATCAGTTACAGATCTTATCCAAGTGCCAGTACAGAGATCACATGTACTCCTCAATGTACTGAGCAGTCACGGTATTTAAATTACAAAACGGAAGTCCTAGGAGCCCAGGAAAGCACCTCCCTTACATGTTTAGGTTCAAAGTAAGTGCAGTAGGTGACACACTGTCTTGGAGATAAAAACACAAGATGCTCTGCTAGCTACTGCCTACCAAAAAATGGCCATTTACATCGTATTTCACAAAGCGAAAACAGTGAATGAGTGTACAAGTCAGTGTTCATAAATAAACAAGTTACCTTTCTTTCTCCAGTTCTTCTAAATACCCCGTATTTTCTCTGCTCCCGTTTATAAGCCCTCTTCTTGGAAACGAACCCACAGGAACAGGACTACACTCTCCTGAACGACTGGATACAGATCCTTCCCGGCTTCCATAAGAACGGAGGGACATTTTTGACCGTAGTTTTACTCCAGGGAAATTACTGCTATCTAAGTTAAGCTCTAAATAAAACAGAAGATAGTTTTTAGTATAACAATTCTTGAACAGTCCTGATGCTATTATTAATACATGGTTTTAAAAGTGAAATATTAGGCTTGTATTTTAGCCACATAAATACTTGACTAAATAAGCAATTACGTAGCATCAAACTGACTAACTTTTCCTGTAAAGTCAGCTTGGGTGAGAAGGGAGACGAGGAATATGTTAAACAAAATGCTTGTCCTTAGGTTCTTTATAGGTAATACCCTGGAACCCAAAAACAACTTCTCTGCTTCAATTACTATGATGGCCTCCTGTTTTGACACCGGAATTTTCCAACAACAAAATGAGAAAGACTTTCTCTTAACCTGTTCTAAAAATGGCATATAGTCAGCTTATACATGCAGACAAAGCTTCTCTACCCTGGGCGAACAGAGGACTGGGGGGCAGGCTGACGGTCTCATCAGGGGCACAGCATACTGAAGTGCTGCCTGATCGCGAGGATGGCAGTGAGCTTCACCAAGTGCACAAGACGATCATGAAAGAAGCCAAAACAGTTCACTCAAAACCAGTTAAATGTCTAACCAAAGAATAAAATTTATAAAGTTTATTTTTTAAATTTTTTTTTTTTGGAGAGTTTTTTTTTTTTGCTATAGGGCACGTGCGCTCGACAGACAGACAGAGAGAGACAGAAAGTGAGAAATCACCCCCCAGGGGGGATGGTCACGCCACAATCCCTTCTCCTCCATTCTCCTCTCGGGATCTTGGGCATGCACACACACACGCCCGGCGTGAGGTTTAAGCCACCGGGTCTGGGACGCAAACCACGGTTGACTACGTGGGAGTCCAGCGACATAGCCATTACACTAACTGCTGGTTCCCATCTTTAAAATTATTTTTTAAAGAGATTTTTGCTATAGGGCACATGCGGTCACCAGAGAGACAGAGACAGAAAGTGAGAAATCACCCCCTGGGTGTATGGCCACACCACAGTCTCTTCTCTTCTATTCTCTTCTAGGGTTTTTGGGCACGCACACAAATAGGCCCAGCGTGAGTTTAAGCTGCCGGGTCCAGGACTCAAACTGTGTTTGACTACATGGGAGTCCAGTGATGTAACCATTACACCATCTGCTGACCCCATACATTTGTACTTTAATAATTATATACTAAAAAAAAAATAAAAATAATAATAACTAGCAAAATTATTAAAAAATGTAGAGATAATTAATCTATCTCTTTTCCCTAAGGTTTCTGCTTAAATGATGCATGTGGTCTCAAGAGAGACAGAGGGTGACCATGACCATGAGACTGCGATTATCAAAATCAAGAGAAGCTGTATTTGTAGACACATATCTCGAGCTGACAATTTGAGCTTAAAAAACTTAATTAAAAATAATTTTTTAATTACCTTTAAGACGCTCTAACAAATCAATCTGTCCAGAAGAAGCCATGGCTTCATCTTCAATACTTCCTTGAAGTTGTTTAAGTACTTCCTGGAAAGAACACAATGGATTAACATGGCACTGTAAATAACACCCTGCAGATCTGACTCTGTGTTAGGTATGCTTGCTGGAGAGAACACTTTTTGGAGTACTCTGAAAACATGCTCCAGCTATAAAGCACTTTACACACACTATCCATTACTCATCATGAATAGTGAGAGATTATATCCAGTAAGAGCAACGGGGAGCCTGTGTGAGAGACTAAATGGCACACTTAAGACCCATTCAGGGGTGACCAGCAGCTGGCGTAATGGCTATGTTGCGGGACTCCCATGTAGTCGACCGCGGTTCAAGTCCCGGACCTGGTAGCTTAAACTCATGCCGGGTATGTGTGTGTGCGTGCCCAAGATCCTGACGGGAGAAGGGATTGTGGCCTGGCCGTATCCCCCAGGGGGTGATTTCTTGCTTTTCATCTCTGTCTTCTGGTGAGTGCATGTGTCCTATAGCAAAATAAAACCTCTTCCCCCGCCCCTCACCCCCCAAAAAAAGATCCATTCAGGGGTCAGGCAGTGGCACAGCGATAAAGCAACTGGACCCACCCACAGGGGAAAGATCCTGGGCGTGTGTCCTGGGGCCGCCCTGAGTATGCCAGGTGTTTGCCTACGATCCAGGCTGGCTGACAACAGGTGGGCCACAGCGTGAAGACTGCTAGAGGAGCACGATTCTGTCTTTGTCTCCTCTTGTGGAGGAAAAAAAAAAAGGCTTAAAAACACATTTAGGGCTAGCAGGTGGCACAATAGTTAAGGCACTGGACTCCCACATGGCCAATCACAGTTTGAATCCTGTACCTGGTGGTTTGAAAATCACCCCACGTGCATGTGCTGTGTTCTCAAAATCCTGGGAGAAGAATGGAGAAGGATTGTGGCATGGCCATCCCCCCCCTGGGTGGTGATTTCTCACTTTCCTCTCTGTCGCTGTCTCTCTCTCTGGAGAGCACAGGCATCCTTTAGCAAAAAACATAAAAAAAAAAAAAAAAAAAAAAAGTTTCATTCCTTACCTCTAAAATTTTAAAAATATTATTAATTTATTATTATTTATTTTTAGAGAGAGATATTTTCAATAGGGCGCATATGCTTGCTGGGGAGACAGACAGAGACAGAAAGCAAGAAATCATCCCCCGGGGGTGGGGGCAGGGTGGGGGGGAGTGCCCCTGCACTGCAATCCCTTCTTCTCCGTTCTTCTCTCAAGATTCTGGGTACATATGCTTGGTGTGGGTTTTAAGCCACTGGGTCTGGGACTTGAACCGTTGTCTACTACATGGGATTTCGGCAGCATAACCATTATGCCATCTGCTGGTGCTTATTTTTTTAAATTTTACTAGAATGAAACTGGGAAAGAAAGGGGAAGTGAGAGAGCAAGATGCCTGGTCTGACCATGTGGGAACCCAGCACCCTAACCACACCACCTGCAGACCCCGTAGCCTTTCTCCTCTTCACGGGGCACCTGGGGTTGTTCTGAGTTTGGACATTCTGTTGAAGACTGCTGCTGCAAACCTTCTAGCAGACACATGCAGCCATTCAGGTAGCACTTTCTGCAAGTCCACATGCTGAATCACACGGTTCAACTTTAAAAGTGCCACATGGCCTTCTGCTCTCTTACCAGCGATGTCTGAGCAACCACTGCTCCATATCTGACATGACTGCTTTTTACATTTAGTCATTTGAGTATAGTAAAATGGTCTTTGCATTTCCCTGAGGATAAATGAGAATCCCTTTTCATATGCTTATTGGCTATTACTTGTCCTCTCTGACTTAGAATGCTGACTTACAGGGACGCCTTGGTCACAAACCAGGGAACCACATACCTGTGGGTATTTTTCTGAACTCTACTTCTCCTAGTTTTGTGGAGATAAAGTTTATCTAGAATAAGAAACTGGTATGCTTCTTTCTCTCTCTCTGTGCGTGTGTGTTGGGACCAGCAGTTGGCATAATGGCTATGTCGCTCGACTCCCATGTAGTCGACCGTGGTTCGAGTCCTGGACCTGGTGGCTTAAACTCACGCCAGGCATGTGTGCCTGAGGGCCCAAGATCCCGAAAGAATGGAGAAGGGATTGTGGTGTGGCCAAACCCCCTGGGGGGTGATTTCTCGCTTTCTATCTTTCTATCTCTGCCTTTCTGGTGAGCGCATGCGCCCTACAGCAAAAGCCTCTCAAAAAAAAAAAAAAAAGTGTGTATCTAAAGAATGTATGTATTGTGTGTGTATAAAGTGTGTGTATAAAGTGCATGTTTACAAAGTGTGTGTAAAGTGTGTGTACCAAGTGCGTGTGTATCAAGTGTGTGTGAGTTAAACTTTCTTTTTAATTTGACCAAAGAGGGGCAGAGTGAGAGCAAGGGAAGGAAAGTGAGAAAGCAAGCCGTCAGGTCTGGGACTCGAACTGCAGTTAGCCATGTGGGGAATCCAGTGGCTTTAACCACCACGCCACCTACTGGCCCCAAGGGTCACATTTTTTAAATTGGATGTTTTTAGTATTGGTTTGCAGAAAATTCTTCATATATTCGGAAACAAATCTTTTGTTAGATACATGTGTTACAAATATTTTCTTCTAGTCTATGATTTGCCTTTTCATTTACTTAATTAGTCTTTCAAAAAACATAGGGTTTTCATTTTCTGAAGGCCAATTTATCAATTTTTAAATTTTATGTTAAGTCCTATATATGTTCTAACAAATCATGCCTACCCAAGGTCACAAAGATATTGTGTGTTTTCTTCTAGAAACATAATGGAATCTTTAGATGAACAAAACTTTTTGGTTTAATGAGGTCCAATTTATCAGTCCCCCAAGCCCCTTTTTGAGAGATTTTGCTAAAGGGCATGTGCGTTTGTGAGAGAGACAGAAAGCAAGAAATCCCCCCCCCCCTCCGGGAGAATGGCCATACCACAATCCCTTCTCCTCCATTTTCCTCTAGGGATTTTGGGCACACATGCACACATGCCCTGATTGAGTTTCAAGTTGCTGGGTCTGGGACTTGAACTGCAGTCAGTCCTGTGGGAGTCCAACACCTTAACTACTATGCCACCTCTTGGCCCATTTTTTTCCCCCTTGGTATAAAATATTTTTCCAGAGGGCACACACACTCACCAGAGACAGAGACAGAGACAGAGAGAGAGAAAGTACCTCTCAATGGGGTGTGTCAGGCCACAATCTCCTCTCTTCTATTTCTCTGTCCAATCTGGATTTGGGGCATGTGTGCACACCTTCACATTTTTACACAGGTACACAGTATACACATGCCTGGTGTGTCTTCCAAGTTGCCAAAGCCGGATTTGAACCATGTGGTCAGCAGGACAGAATCCAGCTCCCTTCATCACTATGCCACAGGCCAGTCCCAGTGTTCTCCCTTTCCCGGTTAGCATTCTGGCATTCTGTTTAAGAAATCTTTGCCATGCTAATGACATGAAGTCGTTATCTTCCGCCTTCTTCTAGAAGCCACTGTTTTTGTCTCTTATGTCTTGAACTGATCTTTGAAAATCTTTTTTAACTGTCAGTTGGTGTGTGTGCTCTTAAGAGAGAGAAAACTCCCGTCCTTCTTCCTCCATCTGTCCTTCCTATCAGGGTTTTGGGCATTAAACCCGCCCCCCCACCGAACCATGTTTCTCAAGCTGCGCGGGCTGGGATGTGAGTCATGGCTGGCCATGTGGGACCTAGCTACCAAAGTGCAGACTCTCACTGTGCGTCAGGGCTGGCCATGAAGTGACTTCTGAGCGTGGTATGTGGATACCCAGCTGTCCCTTCACCATGATACTGAGAAGCCCACTTTTTCCT